TGAATTTTATTGTTTTAATAATTGTATTCAATAATTTTTTATATTTTTATATAGTGTTTAAAGWAAAGAAATGCAATGTTTTCAATTAATCAATTTGTCCTCCTCGACTTAAAATAGCTGCCAACAAAGTAACGCCATGTTTCAAGAGTGAATTGATATTCTGTCAACAMAGAAGCTGTGGCTGCAGGTCGTACATTTAGTATAGTTTAAGTTATTATATTCCGTTTCATTTACGTTAATATTACTTTACATAGTTGAAATTATTAATATTTCTAGAATGAGATATTTTAAATATTTTTTGTAGAATGATAGGTGAACTATTAGGAAGCTCAAAAACCAGAATTTTAGTTAAATAATTTAATAGTGGTATAGCTACGGGGACTTGCTATATGTTAAGAAAATTATGAGATTATAAATTCATATCAAAATTTTATTTCAAAAAGTGGCTAAGACGACTACCTATGGTTATCATAGTAAATATTAAAATATACTTATAAAACAGTGCATTTTGGTATTCAAATTTTTGTTATATCTGCTTCTAAAATTCCAATAATAATAGTGCTCATAAAATATATAATAACAATTTAGCTATAGATCTTCTTATTGTACTTTCTGTAAAGAAATTTCATTTCTAAAAATTGACTAAATAATTACTTAATTATAATTAATTATTAATGCTTTTTATGGCATAAATTAATATTCAAATRTTATCGTATTGTAGAATGTAGATGTAAGACCACTGTTCATATAAAAAATTATTTTTATTTTGGTATAGTTGTTAATTGAATCAATTGCAGTCCATAATTTGAATATGTGCACACAAATAAAATTTTACAAATACCTATGTTTATACAATATGCATTGTTTATAACAATCATAAGTTATAACTATAATTTAAACTATCTATTATTATAATAATACAATATTTAATAAAACTGCGTTTTAAAAAGCAGTAATAAATATATACAATATATATATATATATAAAATATAAAATATTTTATGTTAACTAGAATTATTAC